TCTACATGTGCTCAGCGACACCACAGTATACACTGACATGGCCTCACTACGCCATGAACTTCATTAGCACAATTTTACTGTTTTAGGAAACTCTCGTCCAGGAAGACCAAAGTTGCAAACCACTCTTTTATTCATTCTAGGCCCTTCCTGAAGGAAACTCGCCAAACAGTAATTGACACTCCTAGTCTCTTTAACCCCTTGCCTTGGCTGGTTGTGTCCATCAGTCCTTACTGTTATCATCATCACCCTTCCCCGGTCCTAACCGAGACCCACTCCCTTACACTGAAAGGCTCACCTTAAAGCAGACTTCAGAATTGCAATTAATGTCTTGACTTCGCCCTCCCCACTCCGAAACCCTGCAAAGACATTGTTGAGGTGTTTGTATTTGTCTTTTATTTTTTTGGATTTCTAAATTTTTATTTTGTTACTGAAATGTAGTCGATCTACAAGGCTTCAGGTGTACAGCAAAGTGATTCAGTTATACACGTATATTCCTTCTCAGATTCTTTTCCATTATAGGTTATTACAAGATACCAAATGTAGTTCCCTGAGCTACACAGTAGGTCCTGGTTGTTTACGTATTTTACATATAGTAGTGGGTAATATGTTAATCCCAAACTCCTAATTTATCCCTTCCCTTCCCCTTTCCCTTTTGGTTATGACAAGTTTGTTTTCTAGGTCTGAATCTATTAATATTTTGTAAATAAGTTCACTGGTGTCATTTTTTTAGGTTCCACATGTAAGTGATATCACTTGATATTTGTCTTTCTCTGTCTGACTTACTTCGCTTAGTATGAAGACAATCTCTAGGTCCACACACATTGCTGCAAATGGCAATATTTCATTCTTTCTGTGGTGACATAATTTTTTTTGTCTTACCAATATGTGATCTCCATGATAATTTAGGAGCCAGCATTCAACAAGCAGCATTTGACTTGTTTCCCATTTTTGGCTTTTATGACTAAAGCTGCTGTGGACATTCTCATTCAGGATTTTTAATGGACGTGTGCACTTATTTCTCTCAGGTTCATAGCTGGACTGGGTTTATGTGCCTGTGGTCTAACTTGCCTAAATATATATATATATTTTCTTTTTTTTAATTTGAAGATTTCACATAAAATTGAGCTTTTCAGCCTTTCTTGAAAAACCAGAAGACCTGGCCATCCCCGGTCAGCATCGCCTGTTGTCCCATTTGACTGGAGCTGGAGAGGGGCCACCCACCCTGCTCCTCATGGAAGTCACCTCTGCTCCAGTGGGAGTCTTAGCTGGAAACCTCTGTTCTAAGCACAAGCTTGGGAAGGGAGACTCTTTAAGTTCTTGTTACTTTTATTACAGAAAACCGAGAGCAGGTTTTACTGGAAAGGAACAAGACTGTCAGTGTCTGAGGGAAAAGGCCCCTCTGCCAAGGATGTCGGGAGGCAGCTGGCCAGAGAGCAAAGCCAGCTTAGGACGCCTCGATCTATTTTGCAATTCAAAGGAGAACCAGTGCTCTCTGAAAAGACACTAGCAGTGGTAAAATGAGAAGCGCGATCACCAAAAAAGACCTAGATCAGTCTTCCTTATTCATTAACATCATAAGTAACTTTTGTGAAACTTTTTTTTTTGGCATTTAGAGTGTTACAGACGTAAAGAAGAGTTAAAATAGCTCCCCACTGCTGAACCAAAAGAATTTAATACAATCCAGAGCCCTATGATATAAAAAGATATTAGTCATTAAAGACCAATAATGCAGCTTCTCTATTATTCTGGTAGGTAGAGAACAGAGCGGAAACCGTATGCAC